AGGACTTGTATGCCCACCCCGGGCTCACTGTCCACCAGCTCCGCCAACACCACCGCCCCCAGCGCGGGTGTCCCGCCCGAGGTCCCTGAGCTGAGTACTGAGTCCATGCCCTGAGTGCACCTCCCTGGCCCCCAGCCCACCCCTTCCCCTGCGGCTGGTCCGTCCATCCTCAGCGTGTGGCCCCCCAGCACCTGTCTTGTCTGCATCCCCTTTTCCGAATGGGCGAGTTGGTTCTGTCTCCCAAACTGAGGGTGCACCTCCAGCACCCCTCCCTGTGACCACTGGCCCCAAGCCTCCCCAACTCAGGAGCCAGAGGTGATCCCGTAGGTCCCCATGCACCCCCAGCTCCCTCTCCCCTCCCTTGGCATCTGGGGAGCCTGCTCCACGCATTTGCAAGTCCTTCTGCCTGGCCACCCCGCTGTGCAGCCCCTGTCCAGCTTCCTCCCTCCTTTGTCCTTCAGGGCCCTGCCTGGGCCTCTCCTCTCTCGGGGAGGTGTGCTGACCCACTCCAGCTCTCAGCACCCCCTTGCTCCCCTCGGTGGGGGCATCATCCTTTCAGGAGTCAGACCCCGTCCTGGACCAGACAGGTTGTGAAGGGCAGAGCCCCCGGCCCAGTGAGCCAGGGCTGTGAGGGAGGGGTAACAGGATCCCCGCAGCCCTCCCTGCCCCGCCACCATGAATCAGCAGGTCAGCAGCCGGGCCAGCCAGAGCAGCTTTACACCTGGGGCGCCTGCCTGCGGGGGATGCTGAGCCCTCGGGGCCTGGAGACAGTCCGGGGGCAGCCTGGGGCCCCTGAGCCGCAGCCACCTGCACCCCGTGCCCTTCATGCCCTGGGCGCCCGAGGCTCCCTTCTCCTCCAGGAAGCCCTGAGCCGCCCCTGACTCCCGGCGGTGGAGCCCAGGGCCCAGGGGGGTTCTCATTAGGACCAGACCCCAGGTGAGGCACGCCCCGGTCCTGCTGCCATGCCTCCCCACCTCCCCGCACCCCACGCACAGGTCTTGGCACCCCTTGGTCTGCAGGGCTTCCCCGGGACCTGAAGCCCAGAGCCACACTGCCCAGGCCCCTGGAGGTTCAACTCCCAGCTGGTCCCCAGCCCCAAGGCCCAGAGCAAGGGCACAGAATGTCCGTCCTGGGGACACCCTGCCTGACTCCCCATGGGGGAGCAGGCCCACCCCCACCTGAGCTACAGTAGCTCCGTTGTGGCCAGAGAGTGAAGCGACCCTCTCTCCCCTTAACAGGAAGGAAAGCTACATCCCCCACTCCAGTCGGCCCCTGGGCAAGATCCCCAACTGGAACCGAACCTGGGACCCCTCAGTCCACAGGCTGACGCTCTATCCACTGAGCCACACCAGACAGAGTGAAGAAATGTTCTTTATTGAGACACCAAGTGCAGGCACTGGACACTTAGCCCTCCCTGGGTCCCACGAGGTAGGAGGCCACTGTCTGGCACCTGACGCCACCCCTGGACAGAGAAGACTCACACCTCCACATCTGGAGCAGAGGTTATGAAGTCAGCTCCATTCTGGAAGGAGGGGGGTCAGGGCCGACCCACAGATCAGAGCACCCCAGCTCTCGGTGGCAGGGCCAGGTCCAAGTGCGCCTCGATGTGGGCCAGCCCCTTTAGCGTCCCCCCAGCCCCATGACTGCCAGCTCCCCAGCTGGCACTGTGCCCTCAGGCTTCAGAAGCCCAAGGAGAATGCCATGGCTTTTGCCCACCTGAGCCCCTCGCATGGTGCACAGCAGGACCTCAGCACCCCCTCAGTGACAGCAGACGCCGGGGGGAGGGGAGGGAGGTACAGCCACCCCAACGTGGGCCTCCTGCTAGTACAGACTGGCCCTCGGGTGCCCATGGATTCATACACGCCTTCCCATGTAAATACAAGGAACACACATTAGGGCGTGTGTGCCACACAACACAGGAAAACACGTGGCTCCAGGCAGTCTGATGTGACACTTGGTGGCTGTCCCTGCCCTGCCACCCCCCGGGGAAGACCCTGCCCAGCTCTCAGGCCTTTGGGTCTCAGCGTTTCCCAGGGTAGCCCCCCACTTCCGGGCTGAGCAGCTCAGACCACTGAGTCCCTGCCCTTTGAGTCTCCAGGGGCCCTGGCTCCAATGCACCACCCCCAACAGACAGCCCACTGGGACTGAGATCTGGAGACAGACACACTCCGAAGGGGACCCCTCAGGCATTCAGGCCTCCACAGTAAGGTCCCAAGGGAGACCCTGCCTGCTGGGATGCGGTAAGAGGACCAAGGAAGGCCAGGACGCTCTGTCCAGGCTCCTATGCCCACGGCTTGCACACGTGCACACGTTCATGCATTCATATGTGTGCGCAGACTCCCACGGGAGCAGCATGCAGACCAGGGGTCCCAGGCCGGGGTCGTGAGGTGGGAGGCAGCCCTGGTGGGAACCCGGCAGGCTGTGGAGCCGGGGTGGGCAGGCTCGGGCCCCTCGTGAGTTCCAGAGCGGCTCACTGCTCAACGTCCAGGCTGCCTGGGGGCTGCGGTGGCCCCGGGGGCTTGAAGCTGAGGACCTCCTGGTAGGTGAGTTCTGGGGAGTGAGGGGGAAGGTGAGCCTGTGCTGCCACCAGCCCAGTGCCCCCCAGTGCACACTTGTCTGGTGCCAGCCACCAGCCCAGGCCCACCACCATCCGAGGGCAGCCTCGGCCCTTGTCCCTTCCAGAGCCTGCCCTGTGCTGCCCCCTGCTTGCTGGATGTACCAACCCCATCTCTAACCACCGCCCGGAAGTGGGGGGGGGGGCGTGTTGTCCCCTCCCAGACCACCCCGAGGATGAGTTGAGGCCCTCCTGCAGCAAACAGGCAGTGCCCGGCCTCCAGGGAAGGTGGCCCTCCGGCCCCTGGGCGCCACCTCCCCCCATTTCCCCCCCCCCAGGCCCACCCTTCCACTCCTCCAAGGTGCGCTCCTTTGCCTCCACGCTCTCGTCATAGGGCTCGGCCTCAGGCTCGTCCTCAGGGTCGTGGTACTGGCTGAAGTAGGCGTGGGCCAGGGCCTCGGCCGCACTGAGCCTCCGGTCGCTGTCCAGCACCAGCATCCTTCCCAGGAGGTCCACGGCTGCAGCGCAGACAGGGGAGGAGGGGCCGGGGGTCAGCACCGCATCCAGGGCCAGACTGGCACCCAGCCCGGACCCAGGCCCGTCCTCACCCAGGGGGTTGGCGCCACGGAAGATGCTCCTGAGGTCCTTCTGGGGCATGGGAGGCAGGGACTGGATGTAGGTCCGGGCCTGGGGGCACATGGGAAGGGCCTGAGCGGGCGGCACCCCCCACTCCCCACGACCTTCCTTGGCCCTAAGCCCCCTTACTCACTCCAACAGCCAGGGCAGGGCCTGCACAGACAGACCTGGCCTGGCGCTGCGCCTCCTTCCTAGGCCAGGGCACTGCGGTGGCGCTGCTACTTTGCCCTCCCTGTGCCTCACGCCCGGATGTCTTCCCCTGAAGGGGCCAGGCACCTGCCTTGGGCTCTATTCCACTGCGGCCCACGCTCCCCACACGGCCCTTCCCCCACAGCACCAGGGCCGGGGCAGCAGAGGAGCCGGGGCTGGTGACTCACGTGTTCTGAGGATATCTTTGCCAGCACCTCAGGGCTGGGCGTGCCCACCACCTCCATGATGCGCTTCAGCTGGTCAATGTCTGCCTGGCTCAGGAAATGCCCACGGCCAGGCCCGAACCCTTCTCCTACAGCCCGGGACAGTGCGCCCAGGTGGCACGGCGTGGGGGGAGAAGAGGAAAGACTGGCCACAAAGGGCTGAGCCCGTCCCCTCAAACCTCCCCCCAAAGGAAGGGACCCAGGCGCTCAGCCCTCCTCCCCCACCTGGGCCAAGGATACAGTCACTTCCCGGGAAGAGGGCCTTTCCTTGGAGCAGCTCGGCCATGATGCAACCCACAGACCAGATGTCCACTGCTGGGGGAGGTGTCTCCATCAGTCTGCCCACCCACGTCCTTCCTCTGAGAACCGGGGGACTGCCTGGACTGTGCCAGCCAGTGTCCCCACCATCCCCCGGTCCCCTCCTCCTCTAGCCAGACCCTGGGGAGGGGAGGGGTCAGCCCAAGACCCACCATGCTCCGCCCCTCTGAAGGTCTGTTTGTGAATGCTGGCCCCAGGCCTTGGGTCCCCAAGATTGGAGCTCCCAGTGTCCTTGGCTTTGCCCCACCCCCGCCCCCCAGGCCCTGGCATGGGCTCTGCCTGGCCACCCCACAGGGGCTGACGTCACCTGTCTGGTTGTAGTGCATCCAGTTGAGCATGATCTCAGGGGCCCGGTACCAGCGCGTGGCCACGTAGCCCGTCATCTCCTCGTCCGCCTGGCGTGCCAGCCCGAAGTCCAGGATCTAGAGCAGGCACCCGGGTGGTCAGCGCCTCCAGGAACGCGGCCTCCATGCCCTGCCGCCCCCCTGCGCCCGCGCCCATCCCCAGCGCGCACCCGGAGCTCGCAGTCCTCGTTCACCGCCAGGTTGCTGGGCTTCAGGTCCTGCATGCAGGGTTAGGGTTAGCGGGCTGGGCCCGGAGGGCGGGGCGCGGCCCTGCAGAGCCACCTACCCGGTGGATGATCCCGGCCGAGTGGATGTACTGCGAGGGGGAGAGGCG